TTTATAACGGAAAAAAGATGTGTTTAAGTTTCAAAATTCTTGTTATCTTATTTCAATATTGAGTCAAAGGGTAATTTTTTCAAGTTTAATATTTCAAAAAATGAAAATAAATATTATTATATTTTCCAAAAATATTCCTTATAATCTTCCTATATAAACCTAATAATATTATATTTCTATTGGGCCTGTTCTCTGAGGCCCAATTACACTTTGGGCTCAATTTATTATGGGTTGTATGTATCTATTTGTTGGTTAAGGGTCTCTTTTACTTTGTAAACCCTAGAAAAACCCATTAATAATTATATTTATTTTATTAAAAAAAAAACCCATTCAAGCTAATAAATAAATTACACAAAAAAAAAAAAAAATTTCCGTAATAAATTTTAAATTCAATCATAAAATTTTATACTGAAATATTCTAATTCTATCATCTAAACTAATTAATCAATACACATGGAGGTACTCGTACCTCGAATAATGTAACTTCATGTCACTTTCGAGTCAAACATGTCTAAAATTCCCGTTCTAGACGAACATTTTCAATAATTTCGTGTCTGGTTCTTGCCCCTAATGGAGCTCTTTTAATAAACTCAGTGCTCGGATTCGATTGAATAAAAAATTAACAGTTACGTGAAACCACTTGCGAAAACATTTAGGGTTTTTTGTGTGATGGGTGCGAGGAGAATGTTGAAGAAACTAATAGGTACAATCCATAATCAATTACTGAACAATAACTTGTCAAGAGTGTATAGTTTCATCATCCAGTATTCATTCATACACTAATATTCTCTATACTTCCAGGAATATATATATATAAGGCCTGCATCTGAAAAACCTAACATCCTCGTCGATCCGGATATTTCCTAAGACAATCTTCATGGAATATACGCAAAGAAAGAGAGAATTAAGCATCGGTTACCTGTTCCTACTACCAGAGCTAACATCAAGATCTTCGAAATCGTGCCAAACTTGAGCTGATAACAAAATGACTTGACTCCGAACTCTTCATAATCTGCTCAGAAATGAGATCTGGTTTTTAGGGTACCAAGAAGGAAAGATGCATGACGGACATGATTAACCCACGACCTAATTAATAAGTAATTAAAAATTATTTTGATTTATAGAAGTACTCTATATATATATTTTGAAAAGTTATAAGACAAGAGAGAAATCAATAAACTCTGAGAAGGTAGATTAGGCTTGCCTCATGATGGTTTCTATTTCGGTTGCTTCTTCCACAAGACACCAATTTTCTTCAGCATATTTCCGTTTTTCTTCTTCAGCAAATCGTCATCCATGTCTTCAGAGTAAGGTGAGATTATCTTCCCTGTAACGGGAGTATAATTGTTGCTATCCAGCGATCCAGTTCTCTCCATAAACTTCCCATTATTCCCAGATGGAATCATGGCAGCAGCTGCCTCAGCTGCTTTCCTCCACTGATCGGATTGCACCTTAAGCCTTCTCAACTCGGCCTCCATTTCCGAATTTGCAGCCTGTGCAGCCTCTAGCTGCTCGGTAACCCTGGCCATCTTCCTGTTACTCTTCTCAGCCTCTTCCATAGCAAGCCCGAGTTTCAAGAGAGCTTCTCGTTCAGCAGTCTTTGCCATCTCCACTTGCGAAACCACCTCATGTTTCACACTCCCATTGTCCATCTCCCTTTTACTGATTTCCAATTTCAGAATTTCATTCTCCTCGGATATATTCTGAAACTCTGTCTCCTTATCCATCAAGTTTGCCTTCAAATCAACAACAGCTTCCCTTAATTTCTTCAACTCGTTTTCAAGCAGGACTTCTCGTTGACATGCCAGGTTCTTCTCAAGCTTCATTTGAAGACTTTCATTCTCTTCTGAAATGCCTTGTAATTCAGTCTCCTTGTCCATCAAGTTTGCCTTTAACTCTTCTATGGCAGATTTTGCATTCTTCAATTCCGTTTCAAGCTCTGCCACACTCTGACTGGACCCGGATTTTATCTGCTCAACAAGTTCATAAGCACTCCTTATCTCTACTGTACTCTGGATTTGCTCTTCCTGCAACTTCATCTCAACAGCTTCGAGAGCAAACCGTAGACGACCCACCTCAGCTTTCAACGAATTAAGCTCTTCTTCAAGGTGATCCTGTTCACTGGACTTACTATTGTTTCCATTTTCCTGCAACATTTCTTGATCACCAGTAGATTCTTGAAAATTTTTTTGGTTAGTATGAACAGGGTCTGCCTCAAGTTTATTGACAAGTTCTTCGAGCAATCCAACTCGCGTCCGAGATTGCTCTAATTCTGTAGCAATGGAGTTGTAAGCTTCAATTGCTTTCAACCCATCTGATCTAAGAGCCTCTACTGACCTTTTTGCAGTCTCCAGTTGCAGCAGTGTTTCACTAGCCAATTCTTGCACCTGCACCTCGGATTCTTTGCTTTCCCTCAGCTGGGTTTTCATGTTCTCTACAAGAGAAAGAGTTTCCACTAAGTTCCCTTTCAAGATTTTGAGCTCCACGTTTGCAGATTCTGTTTGCTTGTTCTGCAGAGCCTCTGATTCAGCAACCATTTCGAGCTGAACTTTGAGCTGCTGAATCTCAGTCATGGCAGAGGTCAATGCAGCTGCATCAACAGAGTGGTGATTCTGGACAGACTTAAGCTCAGACTGCCATGCCTGCTCACTTTCTTGTGAGATCTTTTGAAGCTCGAGAGCATGGACTTCCTCAGAAGCAGTCAGCTCCAACAGCTGCTTTTGTGACTCTTCTAGCTTCAAAGCCATGGCTGATAGTTGCTTCTTGGTATCCTCGACATCTTGCTCGGCCTGCTTCTTGCATGATTCGGATGCACAAAGCTGATCTTTTGTCTTCTTAAGCTCCTCCTTGAGCAAAGAAATCTGAGATTCCAATTCCGAAATCCTGCTAGGACGCTTTTTCTGAAACGAGAACAAGAATGAAGGTTAAGAAAACAACACCAACCCCATTTGTATTAGCATGGTAAGTTCGAAGAAACTTAATTATCTAGGCTATAATAAGAAATTATAGAGCCTTACATGAACAAGTAAAGTACTTTTACTGACAAAACGAAAAAAAGTGAATACAAAAGAAGACCAAAAAACCTTTCCTCTCTCAACAACCACAAGTAGATGTTCCACCTAATTCTAGAAAGGACCAAGATACCAAATGAGAAATGAATGCAAGACACCTTCAATAAATCAATTCAACTACCAGTTGCATTGAAAGGAGAGCACACTGGCACTTTAAGCCTCCATGCTGTGGGTCACATGGCAATTTCCCATGACTTGACTTGTAGAAGAAAAATCAAAATTTCATTTAAGGAAAACCAGAGATTATGGGTGTATGTTGCCGTAATATTATTACTGCTAAAAAACTGAAATAATCTGTAAAATTATGGAGTAATTTATGAGTTTGCCAATAATAATGAAGGGAATACCACATCGACGCATGCCCACTGTATAAAATAAATTACTAGGCAAACCAAACCAATGAAAGATCCGAAAGAACAATTCGCAGACCAGAGATAGTACCAATAAATTGTCTATTCCACCATGAATATGAAAAGACAATTCATCATGTGCATGCTGAATACTAAAGAGACAACTGCTAGCTTGAGCTTCTATACTAAAGTGAGGTTCAATATTGTGTAACCTATTGCAACATAAAAAACTGTAGATCTCTTCATGGGATGCATTTATTAGAGTACCTCAGTAACTGGGCTTCTGGGAGACCGGCGCTCGACAACTTTTGGGCTTCTATCTTTCGGTGTTCTGCTAGCTGAATTTGAAGAAGCTGAAGATTCAAGCTCTAGTCTAGTTGGCTTGAGTTGACGAACAATTCGAGGAGACACCTTTTGAGGCACTTCTGAAGTGCTACTTCTGCCAACAAAATAATTTAGGATGATGATTGAACACAAACAGTAGCAAATCAACAATCAGATGCTTCTGGGAATGAGATTTCACATTCTCCTATCTCAAGAACAGTGAACTGGCTGGTTCATGATACAAATATAGGTTTAGACTCTACACACTAATATATAAACCACTAACTTGACTAGGAGCTTTAGCTCCACTGGTCACATCTCTCTCTCAGCAGATTGGTGGGTAAGTTTCAAGTGATAGGTTAAAATCTGATCAGTTTAGAAAATGGCTTCAAAATTCGCCGAAAAAATGCCAGCCTATCCATCAGTGCAGTTACATTATAGATTATGACATATTCGGAAATATTGGAAAGAAAAAAGAAAAAAGAAAACTTGACAAGTGAAATCCATATGCAACCCAGAAGACGGATGAGTAATCTAACATTCAGGACCACGTCAAATAGTGTAATCAAAATTAAGATCGACAATCAAGTGTTGCCCGGAATTCTATTTATCCTCAATCTCAAGTAATTCGTGCAAGAAAATTGTTAGTCTCTTTGCCAATCACTAATAAAACAGTATCTTTCTCACCAAAATTTGAAAATCAAAGGAACCCGGAACTTTATTTTCAAGTCTTTCTTCACATGAAGTGGAAAGATTAGGGGCAGAAACTAAACAGTGGAGTAAACAAGCTTATATGTCTTATATAAAGTACATAAATAGAGATGTGGATCCCCACAAGGCGCCTCTATGGGGCCTAAGGCTAAGCCAGGAGAGAAGACAAGATGCTAAACCTTTTTTGAAAGTTGATAGAAAGTAATTATAGCAACTCCTCAAGATTCTTACCACTGAAAATATGGTCCACACACCACAATTCCCTCGTGATTCGATGCTAAAGGATTTTGGGTAAAGATCATAGTTATGCCTAATGGGAAAACAGGCATATGGACTTTTGAAGAGAATTAAGAAAATCCAAAACCAGATTAGTAAGTTGAACAACCTGACAAACCAAGAACGTACACACAACTGTATCCGTCAATTTTCCAGCCAAGACTTCACTGTATCATTTACCTTTTGAAAAACCCATATATGTATCATTTATATATGGTAAAATGTATAAAAATTCAACAAAAGATTGAAACCCATTAATATTTTCTTAAATAAGTCACTAACCCAGAAGGCTACGACCAAATCCGTTTAACCCACTTGAAGAAAGGATAGAACAAATTATAAAGGCAGATAGAAGAAGAAGTTACCTTGATTTTGGAGTCTGCATAATTTAAACACCCTTCAAGGCAGTAAATTATGAAAGAAAAAGAAAATGAAAGATCTTGGAGTTAAGCTTCAAAAGACTTGAATGCTGGACTGACCCACAAGAGCTGTAAGAGAAAATATCACAAGTTGAGATAAGAGAATCCAATGTGAATGTACATGAAGAAATTAATGGGATTCATATGAGGGAAGTTGCTCCCCTTTATCGTCGCATCTATATAAATAAATACATATATATATATATTTATGTATAACTGTAAAAGCAAAAGATTCACCAACCATTCAAATCAAACCAAAATAAAAAGGAATTTCTCAGCAAAAAAAAAAAATTACCAAAAAAAGTTTGTCTCCTATCAATTTGCTAACCAAAGGGCAAAAGCAAAACCTTTCCTCTCTTTACCCATTGAATTCCAGTACTGCCACTACTCCATCATGCTCATGACTACCATAAATGGTGTCAAAAGGAACCGTCAAGTAGATATAAAAAGATAGACAAATTCCATAAATACCCTCCCAGAAGATTAACCTTTTAGTTCAGTGTGAGGGGTAATACGGTAATTTAAGAGCGGAAATTTCCTCCTCCATCGTTGCCGTGAATGAGGGCACAGGCAACATTCGAATACAATGTGGGGTTCGTGTCTTGAAGAAGGGTAGTTAAAGTTTCAATTATAGTCACAAACTTGATAAAGCAGAAAGCAAATACCACTGGTAATTCTGTTTGTTTCCAAGGAAAATACTTTCTGGGTAGTGTTCTAGCAAGAAAGAAAAGGAAGTACTCTTCAGAAACCACAAACGCCCGACAAGATCTACAGGAGCAGATGTAAAATAAAGAATATGACAGGAGGATTAAAAGAGACAAGAGAAAGTTAGTACTGTAAAATCAAACTTTTTGAGATTCGATTTTCCTTTTATGAAAAGTAGGAAGAAAAGAGAAGGAAAAAGCCAGAAACTTCAAACTGATCTTAAGCTCCATGTTACGTTAGCTCAAGGAAAAATCTTTTTACAATGTTACAGATTTCAATGACGAGGAACTTCAAAAAAGAAACATCATTTCCAGAACCCAAAACCGTATATACACCATACATATATAAATATATATAATATAAATCTGCATAACCGTGCATGTTATGACCACACAAAAAATGAAAGAACAAAGCGGATTTGCAAAGAGAAACTCAGAAAGATAGAAACTTTGAAGTTCTCAACTGAACCATGAATCATATGGGCCAATGGGATTGAACTTTCATAAGAATTTGTTTAAAAAAACACACCATTTTCTTCCCTTCCACCTGCATTTTCTCAGCAACCAAACACAAAAAGAAAAGAGAAAACAGAACCCACAATGAAAGAAAATGCCTTACGCTTTATAACAAGGAGTTGGGCGGAGCGTGTCAGCGGTACATTTGTACTGTGAAAAGCAAAGAAACTGCCATGGATTGGAAATGGAAGCTCACAATAATAGATTTTTTTTTTCTGTTCCACTTTCTTATTCTCTGAAGAGTCGCCGAGGCTCCATCCAGTCTGTATGTGTTGGTAGTAGTGAGGTTTGGACAGGGAAGAAGAAGAAGAAGAAGAAGAAGAAAAGCAAAACGCAGGTAGAAGAGTACTGATTTTTGTCGTTTTGAAGTGGATTTAGTGAAATGCAAACAAAAGTTTCTGACCCCAGCCTGGGGGAAAAAATCATTTTCTTGATTCTTTTACCAAACCAAAGCAGAGTGGGTTTGGGTTTTAAATTATTTAATTTGCATTTTCTCTTTCCTCAAAACTTTAAAAAACATAAAAAAAACAAATATAATATACATACATATATATATATATACACACACACACACTCACACACATATATGAATGTATCTATAGATACCATGCTTAGACTTTAGACTTGAGAGTGGGTTGGGGGGACCCTCTAGGTCTGTCCTGTAATGGTTTGTCAAGGATCATTGCTAAGTTACTAATTATTCTTTTTTTGTTCAATAATTTTTTTTTTTGAATTTATAAATTTGGGTCCAGCTTTAATTTCATTTATTTTTATTAAAAATTAATTTTTCAAGTGTGAATATATATATATATATATATGTATAAGCACTTTTATTTTAATCATATATTTTTTGTTGCAATTCAAATAGTCATGTGTGGGCCCGATTAAGATGGACCACCTCTTGTACCGTATCAAAATGGGCTTGCCTCGATATAAAAAATAATTATTATTTTTTTTAATAAAATTATTTTCTAAAAATTATAAATTTATATATTTTATTAATTAAATAATATTATATATATATATATAACATAATTTCATAATAATTATTTGAATTTACACTCAGATAGAAAATAATAAAATAATCTATTATATATTAATTATTATTGCATTACATAAATATTTAAAAATTAATAAATTAGTGATAACTACATCAAATATAAACATAATATATACATATATATAATTATTTAATATGGTTGAAAAATAATTAATTGTACATGAATAGAAGTATGTATCATCATCATCATCATGATTCATCATGGCAGGTGTCTACTTTTGTTAAATGAAAAATTTATTATTATGTATTTTAAATATTATATATATTTATTTATTTATTTAAAATTATATAATTAATTTCCAATTAACTTCATTAAAATAATTAAAGTTCAATTATATCTCAGAAAACTTAAATTAAATAAGAAAAATTATTAATTTAATTAAATGAAATAATTACTTATCTTTTTAAAATAAAAATGTATGCTTCTCTTCGGTAACCGTTAAAAGGGTTTTAAGAAGGCTCGAAACCCTTCGGTGAATAAGTTTATTATGAAAAACCCAAGAGACTTCTAAATAATACTCTCGTAACACTCTGCAAGTTTTCCCCAACAGTAAGAATGGCCACTTCCATATCTCGGATCTCCAGGAGTAGCCCCGTCGCTAGGGCGGCTGCCGGCCTAATTCGTTGCGGCTTTGCAACCGAGGGGACGAAGACTATAACTCCGTCCGCGGATATGATCAAATGGGATTACATGTGCCAGATGCAGATGATGCCGCTCGGTCAATCGGCTCCTAAGGTCACTATTGATGCCCGGTCGTCTCCTACAGGTTTTGCTTCTTAATTTCAAATTGCTTTCGGTGTTTCCTTTTTGTCAGTGGACCTTTTTAGGATTTAGGAGTTTTTTGGTTCATCGTTATTTCAGTTTTGGCCTTGTTAAGCTGCGTAAGAATGTGAGAAGTGAACGATGACTTTTTTTTTTTTTGAAAGGGGAAATGATTGTGGAATTGACGGATTTTGGTCTTAGGATGATGAAGATGTTTTGCTTACTGGATTCTGTGAATTTGGCTAAGAAATGGTTGTCGAGACTCCAATTTATTGGAATAATATTTATGTTTTCTAGAAGGAAGTTATCCACTGGATAGTTAGTGATGATCCATATAGGGTTATCGGGTTCTTAGGTTTGCTTCTTTTTTTCCTTCATACTTCGATGATTCTTGTTTGCTATGGATGTGGCGTTGTTGGCTGTTGATAAAGGCAAACCCTAATCCAGTGTAGGCTTGTGATGAGCCTTCAGGTTAACTTCATCAGTAGAATTTCAGTGTACTGTTAGTTCCTATATGGTGATTTCACTGGAACTGGAATTTTGTTGTGTTTGCTTTGGCTGGTAGTACCGTAAATTTGAAGGTTTTCCATATATTCTTGCCGGAGAAAATTCATGTGGCACATTTGGGATTAACAAGGAATTATCTATTATGGAAATCAGTCTGAGAAAACTTGGGGGTAGAATGTTCTAGATGGAGTTCCAGATTTATAAAAAGTATCTTCGATAGTGGTTGTTTTTCTGCTTTCATATAAAACAAGGACACTGAAGGCATTTCCATATGTCAGTCAAAGTGATCTAGAGCATTATGTCTTCATATGGTTCAGGTTTTTAAATCGTCAGCATCATAACTACCAAGTCCAAGCCTCTATTTATTTGCCATCAGTCTACAATGGAAGAGGACAAGTCAGGGCTTGCTTCCTCTCACTTAGAAGGGAATACCTAGGTATTATTCCTAAAACCAAATTGTGATAGACCAGAAATCTTGTGGCTCGACTTGAAATCTAACTACAGTCTTTGCTTTAGACCTCCAGTCTAACACTAAATCTGGAAAGTTAGTAAAAAATCCTTAAGATTAGGAAACCAGTGTTACGTTCTTCTCTATGCAAATGTAAGTTACTTCATCAATAAAAATCAACCAATAAAGTTAGCAAGAGAACTGTCTTGTAGACTATCAAACTTTAGGAGATTGAAAAGTTCTCCCCAACTAGCCCCCACCACAGGTCATCAAGGCCAAAAATCAAACAAGTAAGATTCATGCTTGCTGCAAGACTTCTCAGCAGTCACCCATTTTTTTTTCAAAATAAAAGAAAATTCGAATTAAAAGGTACCAACGGGGTACCGCCCAATATGCAATTCTCAGCAGTCACCCATGACTAGATCCTTAACATGGGATCATAATAAAAAGCTTAATATAGTTGTGCTTTCTCGACCGCTAAGATGAAAGAGCAATTTTTTAGGCTATCCTTACTGAGTGGCTGTTCTCTACTATAAAATTGTCAGCTGGATAAGATCTTGGAACAGGGATTCAAGGATTTTTTTTCTTTTCCCCTTTCTGGTGATGCTGTAGTTGGATGTTGCAGATTGTCTACTCGTCTTTATTTGGTGCGACAAGATATCATTTCATAGTACAATAATTTTTTTGTAGTCTAATGCTTCAGTAGTTTGTCATGTGGTTGTCTCACTATGTTGATGTATTGGGAAAAAAAACCAGCAGGACGTTCATTGTTTGGTGGCCTCAGCAACAGTTTTTCTGGTTTCCTGAACCCATCAAGGGAAATGACAATGGCATGCAGCAATTTCTTGCATCAGGTCAGCAATTTAACGTTTGATATTTTATGTCTATTAGAAGTAATCTGATAATATTGCACAGAGGCTAAAACATTTTAGCACTTGCTGTTGTTGCTGATCTAACTCAAATTTTCAGAGTTGTGAATAATTAGAGGAGTCTTCTCCTGTACATGATTCTTCTAATATTTGCATTTCCTAGCAGATTATGAATTAGGTGGTGAATGTAGTATAGTGTCTATCTGGCCTTCCTTACGTTTCTTTTTCACTTCTATTGGAACAAACTTAGCGCTAAGATGTTGATAACTGACTATACTTGGTACGTCTTTGTTAAGATGGAGAATTGGACCAAGAACTTTCTTTCTTTCTCATTAACCAAATCACTCATTTGCAACGTATGATTCTATTTTATCACTAGACCAATCACCACTCGAGTTTTTTCTTTTTCTTGTGAATGAACAATATCTCTTTATGCAAACCAGGTGATTTCTCAAAAGCAATAGGTAAGTGAACCTGATACTATTACCTTCTGAGTCTCAAATAATTTGCTTAGGAGTCAGTACACAAAGATATAAGGTCATTTCTTCAATTTGCTCTTCACTTATAAGGTCTTACCCATATCTTTTTTTTTGTCAATGTTACTAAGTGATATACAGCTGCTTTGGAAAGTCAAGTAGTATTTCTTTTCTGTATTTCAAATACTTTGTGCTGTACGCAACAAATTATTGCTTGTTTTTTTAATGACTTCAGTACCTGTGGGATTATCAACGGTACCTCTTTTGGGAAAATGTTAATAAATCCCAAAATCATCTTTATAATGCCTGTATTTATGAATTTCTGTTCAGTAGTCGAAAAAGAATTTAAGGAGGCTAGCCTTGTTTTGTTTAGGAAAAAAATATAAGGTTGAGCAGAAGGAATCTATTCCAAGTCTTAAGTGAACTTTATCATTTTTTGACCATGTTACGTCAGTTAATGCCTGTGTTTGTTTATCTAAAACTTTTTTTAAGTCCACTATTACTTCACCGCTTCTAAAGAACTCTACGATAGTTGGTGCAGAGAAGCAGCTTGTTGGACAGTGCCCATGGTTTCTAAAACATACTCTAAATTCTATTGTTTTTTTTTTTTTCGCATTACAGCAACAAAGGACATTCATACAAATGAGGACAGTTCTGAAAGTTGTCGATAACTCGGGGGCAAAGAAAGTGATGTGCATTCAGGCTTTGAAGGGAAAGAAAGGGGCGAGATTGGGGGACACAATTATTGCATCAGTGAAGGAAGCAATGCCTAATGGAAAAGTAAAGAAAGGTAAAGTTGTGTATGGTGTGGTTGTGCGTGCTGCCATGCAGCGGGGACGTTGTGATGGGAGCGAGGTGAAGTTTGATGACAACGCAGTCGTGCTGGTTGACAAGCAAGGCCAACCAATCGGAACCAGAGTATTTGGGCCAGTTCCTCATGAGCTAAGGCAGAAAAAGCATATCAAAATCCTTTCTTTAGCACAACATATTGCCTGAGGTATGGATTTCGTGTTTTAAAAACGAAAAATAGGGTTAGAATTGGAAATTTCGAGCAAGATCGATTAGGAGGAAAAAAAAACAGAGAGATGAAAAAAAAAAGGGCTTTTGAAGACTTACCTCAACATGAGCCCAACACATCCTTTTTCAGACTACGAACAAGTGATGTTCTTCCTGGATTTCATTCTTTTTATTAGAACATCCCTTCAAATGAAATCTTGATCACCGATGAAAATGCTAGTGATTTCTTGATTAGTTTATGGATTATCAATTGAAGATTCCCTGCTTATATAATGGGTATCTGACTAAACACCTTATCGGTATGAAATTTCTTATGTTTTTTTTTCTACTTTTGGTTCTTTTTAAACATTAAGTTTTTATGTAATTCATGTATAAACCCAGATATGTTTTAGTATCCTCTGAAACATTAATAGATCTGTCACTTGTAGAAAACTATGAAAAATAAAACTCACACCCATTTGAAACTCTAACTGTAATAGAATGATTTCTTTTAACGTAATATAATATATATATATAGAGAGAATATGACCAAGAGTTTAAAGACCGACTCTCTGTGAAAGGGAATCATAAATACCCATTAAGTCAGATTAAATAAAAGATTCTTCTTTATTTATTTATTTTTTATTTGTAAAGAGTACCGGTACATCCGAGAATTCTTAATCGGCTAGTTCTAAATAGCCCCAGAACCGTGGAACAAAGGATTATCCAGGACCTACACCGAGGTATTGACGGTGATTCTCAAATATCGCAGAACAGAATGTGATACGAGTCGAGGTTGGGCCCGAAAAGCCCAGCCAACGATGGGCTATGAACTGGAAATCCGAAAGAGCCCAACGCCAGCTTTTAAATTAATTAAAAATTTAAATATTCTTAAAAAATACTTTTAGATTCTATAAAAAGAAATTAAGATTAAATCACGTGAAATAATTATATATAAATAAAATTCAGATCTTCAAAGAAGAACTAAAATAATTACGATTATGATTTTTGTTTATATAAATGCGTCAACAAAAGTCTTAAAAATTACATTACTTGCTTATTAATTTTTTAATAAAAAATAAAAATAAAAGAAATAATACAATAATTTACGACAACGACTTTATTTATATATATACATATATATATTTATATATATAATCATGTGACGATGACACCGTATTGACAATTATGTAAGAAGGCGATCCCATTTTTCGCCTTGTAAAATGGATTAGTTGACGAGTAAAATACTTCATGTAGTTCTTTTTTTTTTAATTCACAATAAACAAAAAATTAAGGCGAAAATAATTTTTATATTAATTTTACTTTAAATGTAAAAAATATTTATGCAAAATTTAAATATTTATATTATATAAATTAATTTATGTAGTTTAAAATTTATTATTATTTTCTGTAAAAAAAAAAATGTTTATTACAGTCATGTCAAACCATTTTGATTATGATATATATATATATATATATATACACATAATACACCGACATATCTTCTGGTGCGCTTTGTCTTCGTATGCCACGTGTAGCGAAAGTGGGCCCACCACCTTCCTTAAATTATCATTAATAAAAATTTCATGGGCTCCAATGCTTTCTTCACTCTTTCCTTCTGGTAGTTACTGCACTGCGCATAGAACCGTTACATCTACAGAAACAAAACCGCTTTTCACATGTGAAGGGCATTCTTGTCATTTCACATTTTAAGACACGTGGCAAACTGTTGAAGCGAAGACAAACCAATTCATACTCTCAGAGTTCGAAGCCCCGTTCCGTGTCCATATAATACAATACAGGTCTTAACAAACCTCCATTCATAATTACTCACGCGCACTCACGCACTCATGCTCTAAGCTTCTAAGCAACAGCTCCATCCAAGAGACGCAACAAAGAAAAACCAGAGAAACTCCGGCACCCGAACCCGAGAAACCGGATTCAGCTACGGAGAGAGGAAGAAGAAGATGAGAACCAGTAACCACCTGATAGGCCTCGTAAACTTCTTAACCTTCTTGCTCTCGATACCGATCCTCGGCGGTGGCATATGGCTGAGCAGCCGAGCGAACAACACCGACTGTCTCAAGTTCCTTCAATGGCCGCTCATCGTTATCGGCGTAGCCATCATGGTCGTCTCACTCGCGGGCTTCGCCGGCGCGTGTTATCGGAACACTTTCCTCATGTGGCTCTACCTCTTCGTCATGTTCTTCGTCATCGCCGCGCTCATCGGGTTCATCATCTTCGCGTATGCGGTGACAGATAAAGGGTCGGGTCGACCCGTGATGAACCGGGCGTACTTGGAGTACCGCTTGGATGACTATTCGGGTTGGTTGAAGGACAGAGTGGCGGATGAGAGTTATTGGGGGAAGATCAGCTCCTGTATTAGGGATTCTAGAGTTTGTGCGAAGATGGGAAGGAGCTTTAATGGCGTTCCCGAGACTGCTGACATGTTCTTCATGAGAAGGCTCAGTCCTATTGAGGTATGTATAATCATATCAGTATATCTATATCGATATATATATATATATATATATATGATTCCATTGTTGTAATTACATGACAACAAACAGAGAAAAGGATTTTCACTTTAGCTTGATTATATTTAAAAGTTTCACTCTGTATATAATTATAGTTTTAAATCTAAAAAGCGTTTTCTCTTTTGTCTTTTGAATTCTTCTGTGTATTTCTATATATTATATATAAGATGGTGGTGAGATTTAGAACAGATTAACTTTGAAAAAGGAAGGATATTCAAAAGTGAATACACTTAAAGGAAAGAAAATGGATTACTTGGAAAAGTGGTAGATCTGGTTTTAAGCTTTTAGAGACTTGTTTAGGTGTTTCTGTGCATGTAGGAAATTTGAATACATACATATCATACACACACACACACACACACACACACACACACACACACACACACACACACACACACACACACACACACACATGTACATACACAACATGCATACTAATTGATTAAGATTTCTGGGTTTTAAGAGTTTGATATTTGAAGCAACTTTCCGGAATCTGTGGTCAATTAATTGCCAGCTTGGTTTTGTTTGGTAACCGAGAAAATCCACCATTTTTATGCAAAAAAAGGAAAGTAAGTTTAAATTTTGATGCTCATGCTCATCAGACAATAGTAATGATTAAACCTGTGCTTGCTGATTTTAGAAATGGATTATATTTTATGAAACTTATATTTTTTTTTAACTCTAAAATTTTCATATCACGTAAACATTTTTTATTCATATAATTATATAAAAGATTAGAAAATTATTACACACTTTACTTTGCTATATTGATGAAAAGGATGTCATCGTCGACCAAAAAAACTCACGCATCAAACAAAAATGAGAACTATTAGACAAGATGCGGTGTCGTTTTACTATTAGATACATACATACATACATACATACATATATATATATTTATATTTTTAATTATTTGTCAATTGTATTTGTCAGCGGACAAGTTTCTTTCCCAATATATATATATATATATATAAATGTATGGGTTAAGGGGGTCACGTCATATCTTCATGTTTATCCGGGGAGTAACTTCCAAGTTTCTTTCCCGGTATACTTTTATAAATCGAGAAATTTAACAATTATTTTTTCAAAAAAATTTAATTATTATTTTTTAAAATTTTTTTTAATCTTATATTATATTAGTAATAAAATTAACAAAAGATATTTTGAAAATTAATTTGGGTTATTTAAAAAATTAATTTTCTAGAATATATATATATTTTTTTTTAATCAATTCAATCACTTTACACTTTTTTTAAATTCTTGGCCAAATAAAGAGGACAGAATATTCCTTTGATAAATTTTATTAAATAATATCCTTTTTTTTTTCTCCCTTTGATGAAAAAAAGTAGCTTTTTTTTTTTAGGGTTTATCCATTTGATTGAGACTTTTGGCAAAGGGGTATCTGTTAATTTTTAAAATTACTTATTTTTTTATTTAGTCTTTACTAAATAAATAAACATACGTGTGTGTGTGTGTGTGTGTATGTATATATATATATTAAAATGTTGATTATGCAAAAATATTATGTTTTTAGTGTTAAAATTATTTTTTAAGTAACATAAATGTTAATTTTTTGATTAACACCTAATTAAGAATGTAAATAAGGAAATTAGTATTTTAATTAGTTCATCCAATTTTAATAATTATTATGATTTCAGTTAGATATTTTAAATGTTGAAAATCTTTGGAAGATTGAACAAAGTCAACGATGTCATTAAATAAATTGGTTTCACTTTGGGAGATTTAAATCTAGAGCTGATGATTTCTTGTATAATTGAATATTTATAAATATTAAAATATAATTAATATGATAATTAGATAAATATTGTGAAAATTTGGTATCTCAAAAATATTTTTTGAGTGCTTAATTTTTATTTTTTTTTATGTATAATAGTTAGTTATATAAAATATTTTGTAAAAACTTCTGTATATTTCATAAAAGTTAAAAATTAAATTGAAGAGAAAAATATATTATACCTGCCGTAATGTTTTTTTTTTTTTTATATTCTTCATATTGCATAATGCAACGGTAACTCTCCATGTATATATATATGAGGGAACCTAAACCATTTGATCTATGCAGTCCGGTTGCTGCAAGCCACCAACGGATTGCGGCTTCACCTACGTGAACGAGACAGTCTGGACTGCCGGAGGCGGGCCGGTAGGGACCAACGTAGACTGCAGCCGATGGGGAAATGAGCAAGAGCTACTATGTTACCAGTGCGACTCCTGCAAAGCCGGTGTACTAGGTAGCCTGAAGAAGAGTTGGAGGAAGGTTTCAGTCATCAACATCGTAGTGTTGATAATCTTGGTGATCTTTTACGTGGTCGGATGCGCTGCATTCAGGAACAATCGCAGGATCGACAATGACGAATCCTATGGTATGGCTAGAATGACAAAGGCTCAACCTAGTCATTTCCAGCTCTAACCAATACACGAACTGGAGAAGCTATATATATATATGCAATATGAATGTTTAGAGATTGGGAAGCGCTTTTGGTTGGGGAAGATTTTCAGTTTGAAGGTTTTGGCATTCCATTTTCAGGGCTGGTTTCTGTTTCAGACATGGATACGGTTTTGAATTTTCCCAGAAAGGGTGGGTGTACATGTTGGTGTCTTGATAATCTATTTTCTGCTTGTCTAGCTTTGTATTCTCATGGGTGAATATCATCAAAGAAAATATTTTCTCTTCTGGAAAAAGTTGAAGTCGTTTGGCAAAATGATAAGCTGTTAAAAAGTGGAAAGTAAATTAAAGTATTATTTCTATCGGAATAATTTAGTTTTTTGCAATAAGATTATTATTATTACACAGATATGTAAACATATATAAACCAAGAAAAAAATTAAAAGAAAAAAGAAGAGAGAATATCTTTGAAAAACAAATAATTTTTTTTTTTTTTTTACAGAATAGCAAATCAGTCACCCAAAAAAAAAAAAAAAATTCATAGAATTTTTTGAGAAAGTACTGAATCATATATATTTAGATAAAATTGTAAGCTGTCCCCAGTGGAAGAGATGTAATATAAGATGTAGAGTTAGAATGGGGGATAGATTTGTACATTTCCAAGATGTTGAGAAGAAGAAACTGCTTCCTGTGCTTTTGAATATTTGAAGAAACCAATGAAGGGAGGCTACAGATCACAATGACAAAGGAGAGTCTCTCAAGTAATGCTTACAGGGGCAATTACTGTCTCCAAAGTTCAGATGCACCCAAAAAAAAATAGAGTTTCTATATATATATATAGATAGCAAGTACAGTATCATTACAAATTACAAGCACCAATTCTTAAGAGCTGGATGTTAATTTAGTCAGTAACATTTTTTAAAATTCATAATCTAACAGCTAAAAGATTAGCGTTCGGCATCGATATTATGAATTCGAACTTACTATACATTAAATCTAACATTAAAAAACAGTTCGGGTGACTAGAATTTTCATTTTCTTAACCAGGGTTGGTTCTCTCTTTCTTTTTTCAAGAAATGAAGGGTAGGTCAGATTTCTGTTTGTGAATCTCCTGATTAAGGAAAGCTAGTCGACACGAAATATTTGTTTCATCCAAAAATTTCGTGACGAAGCCTAATTTAGTCATTTATGCAACCCTACTAATATATTAATGAGTTAAGTTTTAAATTCCGTTACTCTACCAACACTTTGATGAATTAAACACTAGATTTTGCTGAATCAAAGTGGGTTGACCACCGCTAGTTTCTAACATAACACAAATTAGTGAATTTTAGATCTCCAATAAGATTCGAACTCGTGACACAAGGATTGGCTTAAACGTTGTTTCCCTAGATTACCGAGATTTTACATGGAAGACATGGTGTAGTATAATGTGCCTAGACATAGTTGCACAATGCCCACACCTCACATGCACACTTGGAAAATGAAAACAATGCAGAAGATATAAAGCTTTATATAAAATAACAGTAAGTGTTATCATAGGCAGTCAACTTTGATCCACCAGAACATGGCTCCAGCTGGGTTGGTCCTATTCTGAAAGGAGAAGGAAACAAAACACCGGATGAGGCCAACTATAAATCACAGAAAATGCTGCATGAAAATGGTGGTCCTACAGAGATGAAATCAAAATACTAAATAACAATCTGGTTCTATATCAACTTTGGTACTAATCATGTAATGTAACATGGGATCTGATAACTATGCAGTATCTGATGATTATTATAATAAATTTACTAATTACTGTGGAATGTTAAAAAATGACCATGGAAGTATAATGTCTCGCATAACTTCTGGACAAGATGAAAGAACCCTATTCAAACTCCCACTATTTATATCTGTCACTTTTACAGTCATAAAATGGAATGCAAAACAAAAGAAACTGAATATAACAAAACGACTGCAGATAATATCTCATGATAAAAACAGTAAGAAGCCATGTCAACCTGAGCAAATTAGTGATGTAGGAAAACTATGATTCATTTGTACAATTAGGAATTCAGGGATAAAAAACCTAAATGTCACACCTAGAGTTTCTTAAATATCACATTTAAGAAGTTTTAAGCATCACATTTAATAGTTTGGTTGTATCACACAACCAGAAAACTGAGAACCTCTTAAAAATATTATTGAATAACTTGAATGCTCTAATAAATAAAACTACGAGTTATTTACAATAATCTCTAAGCAACCTTTCCTAAATAGAATTAAAATAAGAAACAGCAAAGTAATAATGAATGCTAATATTAATAAGAATAAGAAACTTAACACTAATAATATTTAGAATGCTAATCTTTATGCAAATAGGAAAATGTTAATAAGAATAAAAATTTTAAATTACTAAAAATATAATTGATACTCTTAAATAATATAATAATTGATTCCCAAATAGTACTTTTATTTTATATATAATATAATTAAAATTTCTAATTTGTTTAAGAAATCTAGTGTCATTCTGCATCACTTAGCTACTTGTAAACCTAGATATTGCTTTTTTCAGCATAAGAACATCATATTGGCAATCTTATCACATCATTTTCTAAGACTTTCCAGCCTTTTAGTGCAAATATAGCATAAATCCATGTACTTTCAAGTAAATTAAATTATCAATAGACAACATAGAGTTAGTTGAGCCATTATGCCTTGCTTCTTATGTTTCCTAATTCGCTTGCATAAGGAAATATGCATTCCAACCTATCTTTCAGCACGAAAAAACGGTGCCTAGAGGATTGTCTTGCGTTTACTAACAGTAGTTCACTAAAGCTATACTTGGAACAATTCTAAAATTTTGTATAAAATTCCTTTGTGAATTTATATTTATTGAACTAGGAGAAAAATAGAATTTAGAATACACTTTTCCTAACTCCACATGAAATTCATATTAACTCAATTCTTATCATCTTAAAATAGAACTTTAATTCTCTTAATTAAAATAATTTAGAATGGTATTGTTCTAACTCAACATGAAATTCAATATGAGAGCAATTTGTACCATTTCATAACAAAACTTGCATTTCTCTCATAACTATAGATTTATAAATGAATTTAGACATAAATTTTAGGTTTTATAGAAACGTAACTTAAGTGTTTCAAGCTTCGATCATCACCATCATTCCTAACTAGTGCAATTTATTTAGAACTGACAGGATTTGTTGTAAAAGTCAGGGATTTTCTTCATACTGGAGAGGCTATGGCTATTAACAACTGGCTTTTGAGTGTCAATGTTGAATCATAAACCTAAGTACCTAACTGCTCCATAAGCACTTATGCAGCGAAATTGGAGAGTTCTTTTCAAGCAGAATATCAAATAATGACAAGCTAAATGATTAGAACCAAAGTCTCTTAGATAAAAGGATCACAAAAGAACTAATACCAACTGTAAAGTAAAAAAAAATGAAGACGCAAAACTATATCTATATCTTACTTGGTTCCCGATATTCTGTACCACTCAATATATTACTTGGTTCCATTTTCAACTGCTGCCCGATCCTCGCGACATCGTTCTGGGGTCCATCTTGTTATTGTGCGCTCTTCAACAGTATAATTGTCTAAACATGTTGGAGATACTACATCATGACCATTTTTGTTGATGTGAAGAACTAACAATGTCTTTGCAACACTTCCACATAACCTGACAGTGCAATGAATATCAGACCACACCCTTAACCGTTCATTCACCTCATCATCTCCATCAGAAATGATCAACACAGCAAATTCAGAATGAACCAAAGACGGGTGATGACGATAAGCAACAAAGTCAACACCATATTGCAGTCCTGACCTCACTACCCAATTCTTTTTACGGAGATGAGAATATGCCTTGTAAAAGAAAGGAAATTTCGCCTCCTTAGTTTTCATATAGTGCCATAATTCTTCATCATTCCTTGCTTCACAATCTTCAACAGAAACTTTAATACATTTTAATGCATAGCATAAATAAAATGCTTCCTCCATACCCAACTGAATCCATTGCCTGTCCTTCTCAGCTGTGACAATTTGTCTGCCAAAACAAGCATGATTGAGAAGCTCAGCTTCTTCAGGTTTCACAGCAAGAAGAACACTGCAACCTGACAATAACCCCCCGACATCTGATTCAATTAGAGAAGACTGAAGTTGCAAGATGATTTTTGACATGGGATCTGCAAGAGCTTTTGCTTCTGATCCTTTTCCTTTCCATCTTGGAGCCATCAAGCTGTTCAAACTGTTATAAAAGTTCGAATTCAATTATTTGATTCTGCTTAGAAGATATTTCCTACAATATGTTATATACACTAAGTCTTTGTACCTCACAGCACATTTAACCCATTGAATGCATGAGATGAGGTTGTGATTTGTGATTACATAGTAAGAATATATTTTGATAAACATATAGATAAACTGCAAAAAAGTACCCTTTGCATTGATTAGAAGGTAACAGTGCAGGACGAGTGGTGATTAAACTAGTTTGCCACATGGATAGTTTAGAAATAGAAGAAATTTAGATGAGAAACAAAATAATAAAGATAGGTCAGAAGAAATTAGAGATCAAGGTAAAAAAAATATCGGAAGAAATAGATTGAACAAAATAGGTTAGTGTAATTTTCTGAAATGTAACAATATTAAAAACAGATTCTACGCTTGCAACAGTGACAAATATTACAGAATCAAGATCTACAATATTCTATGGTTGAAACAGTGACACGTGTGAAAGAATAAAAAATCTAAGGTAAACCACAGAATCAAGAGGATTTAGTGCTCGCATATGAACAGTCTATACCCAGTTGAAGTTGTTGTTCTGCAGTTTATATAAATTCAATTTCTTCGACTATAATCAAATGGAAAATCAGGTACGTAAAAGGTATTTTTCCCTTCCCCAAAGATCTCAGCATTACTGGCATTCCATGACAAAGAAAACCCGAGAACAACAAGAAACCTTTCTCCAACCAAGCTAATTAAACAAACCACAGCACCCTCCAAGGAAATATATAACAGAACACCCATACCCAAATCTCTCCCCGGTCTGGTGAAGAACACACAAGTTCACTAGGTCACTTCAGCCTCTGCCCAGGTGTCCTGGATTAGGATATTCTAGACTGAGATATGATCAAAGTACAATATACGTTAACGTAATTTATCATAAATGTATATATAGATCGATATCTTTCACAACTTTTAATCACGTAGGCATATCATCAAACATTTTCCATGCACTCGAAAATAAAACTGGTAACCTTTTACATCAAACACCAGGGGAAACCCATGTACAGAATCAAGTAAAAGTTCAGAGTAAAGCAAGAATGGCATGTTCCCACGAATCATATTAGATCAGTTTATTATAATTAAACCGGAGTTTAGTTCATACCTCCGGTTATAGACTGTTGAAGAATATAAAGTTCCAGCAAAACTTGCAGTCGATTGATCCTGCTGAAACTTTTCGTCGTAAATTGTCAACTTAAATAAATACTTGCACGGTGAGCACCTTGACCGTTCAAGCAAAGAAACATAAGGTGACGTCTTTCCATGCAGACAAAACGACACCGTAGTGCAGGAATACATGCGATAAACACAAGATATTTATTCTACTAATATTTTAGACAAGCCAATCTCAAACCGTAAAACATTATCAATTTCCAAAATCCAAAAACCAGAGTGTCGAGTTCCAAATTTTTCTTTCTCCCAACCCAGTTTTCTCAGTAATCAAACGGAGCCAGATCAACAAAACAATCGACAACTGACTCGAGGAGAACGAAGATGAAAACTGCGTACCTGATTCGAAACGTAAAACCCTAGAAACCGAGAGGAATCATTAAAGGATTGGAGAGGATTTTTAAGCAGGAGAGAAACGTGGTACTTTATGTTGCTGCTCTATTAGCTTAAGCTTGAGGAAGAAAAAATGAATAAAGAAAAAAAGACAGGCAGAAAAAATTTGGAGGGGAAGGGAAAGAGGTTAAAAAACGAAGATGATGAAACGAGGGAGGGAACTGTTTTTACCGGCTACAGCCGGTTGACGATGCGATTTGATTTATATAAACGCGGAAAAGAATACTTCCCACATGCCTTTTCTTTTATTCTGGACTCGAAGTCACTAATTTTTAGACTTGGAAAAATCTAGTCATTATATAAAAAATATATTTATTATTAATGATAAATAATCATTTGAATGTATATTTTACAATAATATATGATTATTAAATAATAAAAAATAATATTATAATAAATCTTGGAAAATGTCTGTTCCAGGTAAATTTAGAAAATCCAAAAAATAAATCTTCAAATCAAAGAACAGTTCAAAGATGATGCAAGTCAAGAATGCAGAACGCAACTATATGAATGTTTGTACTTTCATTTTAATCTATACCCTTCTGCTAAGTGATCTCGCTGTAAATAATGTAATTATACAGTATCAATGAGCTTCCTATAAGCTTCAAAAAATGAAGAAAAGTGGGAAACATGCTATAATCCAATCACTAAGAATTCCTGTTCCAGATCAAGGTTACTGAAAAAATCAAACTATAAACATGGGCATAACAATGTAAGAAGTTCGTTAGTTCACTATGAAGCTCCACACGCCAAGCACGAACAACTCTGTCCGTGTTATCCCTCGAGCACCAACGATGAGTTCATGCTGCTTGGGATTCAGTGGATACTGTTGTCTCGTAGCTGCCTTGACCGTCTTGGGAGCATCTCCGGTTAGAGTCTTCTGAGTTTGTCATTGTAATTGACTTGACGAGTTTCTGGTATAGGGATCGAAGAGCCACAAGGAAAAAACAGATTTGTTATAAAGATGGATGTAGATCAATGATAAATTTGAATGCACTAAACTTGAAGAAATCAGAGACAGATAAGTGCAACCAAATCCATTCAATTTTACAGTGACTAATTTGTACTCTCATTTATCAAAGGAAAGAATCGCAAAAATACTTACAATTGAATTAGGTATAAAATTTACTTAAAATTTAAAATTAAAGTATTATCTTGTTCAAATCTTCATCTTGCTCGTTGTATTCTTTTAATCCATAAATTTAGAAGTGTTCATTGATTCAGAAGCAGATCAGACTGAATTGGACCAAGGACCGATAAGATAGGGGATCCAAATCAAACACTGGAGTGGTTGAAATTAGGCCCAGAATGGATCAGTATTTTCCAGTTCTATCCTATTTGAACTGAAAAAGACGGAATTCTTTTTCTCAAAATTAGAGTTTTAATTTTTTTAAAAATTGATGTTTTTCTTTTTTTGCTAGTCCGGTGCACTTTCGAAGCAGACCTAATTTTTTGGTCCTCTCATTCATGGACCAAGGACTGGATCAAATAATCCCATCCAGTCTGATTTTCTGTCCAAACTGAGGTATGAACACCTCTAAGTAGATTAAAGAATTTAAACCAAATTCAATTTTACTATTATATAAAAAAGATTCGCTTAGTATAACCACTAGTTAAAAACAAATATAAAAAAAGAAAACATTCTGACCTCATTTATTGATGAACTACTTTGCTGCTCAAGTTGATGAATTTGTTGCATTGTCATCCCAAACCATTCATCGATCCAACCAAAACAATTTCGATGACTTTCTATAAAAAGAGCTCTTTCACCCTACAAAAAAAGTATGCACCAAAAAGAAAAGGGTCAATCATTTCCATGAGTTCCACCATCTTCACCTGTAAACGGTCAATATTCTTAGTAGCAAGTTTTTTTCCCAATTCTTAAGAGTATGCACATTTACATGGATTCAAGAAGATAAATGAAACAAAATCCTACAAATTTGGAGCCATTTTCGCAATTAAAAAGAATCGACATAGTAACATCAAATATCAAGAGTCGAGAAATATTACTGCTAGCAAAGCTTGCTCAAGTCGATAACCAAAACCCCAGTAGGGTACATCTACTGTTACCAATTTGTACGCCGTCATAACAGGATGACACCTATCCTGAAAATTTTAAGGTAAAATATTAATAATCTGTTAGAATTTTAATATATAACGAATTAGTATAGTCAAACATTAAATAGAATCAGAATTAATTGAATGTCAAATTTATGGAGTATTTGATCTGATGAACTTTTATGGTGCATATAAACCTTCAGTGGATTATTGTTTATTATCGGCATTTAGATATTGTGCTTTTCATAATGAGTAGATCTGCCTAAGTCCTTAAACACAAAGGCCCACTCTGACAGTATTTATATGTATATAAATATTATGGTTGATTTATTGATACCGGAACCTAGGTACCCTGAATCCTAATTGTTCTATACGAAGAACAGAGTAGTACTATCTCCTAAGCACACACTACAAATTCAGGTATTAATCTATCAGAAAACTGTGGATTCTTTAACAGTATACCAGATATTTTTTTAATTGAATTATTAGTTTTCTCATATGCATACATACTATATAACTTAGATTATTATTTGTAGATCTATGAAACTATATGTTCACTATGATTCTGCTTAATCCACAAATTAGAGTCTTAAAAAGATTTACAAGGATATTATGGGATTATCTGTTCTGGAATTTTTATTAAGTAGATGGAGTGATTAGAATGTTTTACAAGATATGACCCAATATAAAGCCAAAGGCATACTTTTTTAAATGAAGGTGAATTCTGTTATAAACAATCAAATGAAGGAACTTGCATCATCTTAGTTACATAGTTACTAGATGAGTTCCCAACCCCGAGAGCTAGAAAGCTAGATCTAGTGAAGTAAAAAGTACAACAAAGAGCATGTGTGGAGTGAAAACTTAGGTTATATTAGAAACGAATTCAAAACTTTTGTGGAATATATTTGTAAGTCCACACTTCAACTGGAAAATTATGAAAATCTTTCCTAAATTAATGGAGTATGAAATGCATTTTTCTAATTCTACTAACAACACCATATTATTTTCTAAAAGAATTTACATCTTCTCATAATTAAACAAACAGTTTACAAACAAATTCTGAAAAATTTGTGAATTAGTTCCAAATATAATTTTACTGAATTTGTCTCATAAAAACAATGAAAACAAAACAAGAGACTTTTGTGCCTGAAAGTGCAATATGTGAAAAGAGAGAATTCTGTTTCAGGTTTCTTTTATGCAGAAATCCACAACAGGAAAGTTGAGACAAGCACCAAAAGAGAGAGCTAGACAGAGAGAATGAATGTGACAGAGACACATGCCTACACGATAATGAGAAAGGGAAAACAAACCTATGGAATTAGAATGAATTTCCTTCACTAATCATATCCATTTATCAAGGAACTACTTTGCTGCTCAAGTTATTAGAAAAGTTATCACTAACCTGCCATCCCTCCAACAGTGGACCACGGCCAGTTCTTGCTGATTTGAATGTGGAGAAGTCCATGTTGTTTCTTCCAACAACATGACTCCAATAATCTCTTGGAGCGGAAGCTATATCAATAATTTCAACTTGTCTGGCTGCCAGTTGTTCTTCAGTTAACGCATGCACCTAATTTTTCATTTTCAAAATCAATAGCTGCTGGTGAAAAAGACATGAAAGAAATGATTGGAGACAGGGTGTTTTCTTATTCGAAGGTCAATTCCAAAGTCATCAATAATTAATATCTCAAAGAAGTTTTCATAATTCAAGTTACTCAAAAAACCACAAATACATTGTCAGAAACTTACATTTTCGGATTTCCCGTTGTCAGCCTTGTGAACAGTTTCAATGGTGAGACGAAATTTGGCAAAGTATGGGCACTAAAGAAGGGAAAACCATAATATGAAATATTTTCCAGGAAATACGTCCACAAAACTGAAAAAGCTAAACAAAAACAACATCATCCTACCTTGATTACTGGGTTAGGTGAGATCCGTCCAGGCAAACCAAAACAAAAAAGAAAAACAAATTAATACAAGTCCAAGATAATAATACATTTGAAAGAAAAGGACATCAATAACAGGTGCAGCTTGAACCTGTTTTGCATATTGGGTATGCATTCCATGCTTCCTCTTGCATGATAAGAGCATCTGCCGGTGCAAAAGTAGTAAGCCAAGTAGGCGCTTTACTGAAAACACAAAGTGAAGAAAAAATGCATTACAATGTCTATTTTAATCATTTGCACAAGAAAGCGACACTGACTAGTGGTCCATTCAACAAACACAATCCTTGAAAGAAAAATTAAATGAAAAACCAACCCTGTAATCATATACTATTACAAGAAAAGGAAAGGTTGTCAAAATATGTAAGCCTATAGAAAATTTTTCAACCCAGTAGTAGCAATGAAAACTAACCTCATGGTAGTAGGTATTAATTTTAATTCTTGAAAGAAAAACCTAGGAGTATGGAGTTGATTTTTCAACTGTACTATTATCGGAAGCTCACAGTTCGGTCAAACTTTGGTGATTTTGAATAAGCACACGAAATAAAGCATTGAATGAACTTGTCCTATCCTTTTCTTATCGTATATGCCCTACTTAGGTAGTCCTATCTCGTGCTATCGTCGTAAGATCACCATATTCCATTGTGATTGCTTTATTCACAATTAATGCAGATAAAATGCAATTTCTAAAAAAGTAGATATCCACAAAGCAGTACAAGAGTTAATCTCAGTAAAGCCAGAAATGGTAATGCCTCCAAGATCCAACGAACATCTTTATAAGAAGTAACTAAATTGATTATAGGTTTTTTATCTTCTTTTGGTACAGATGCTCCTTTGCACTATAATCTAATGTTTAACTCTATATCTATTTAACTCCATAATGGGCTAAATCCTTCAATTTATAGTCCACAGTTCAATTTTATCCAACTCAGAAATATGATCAAATCCTTCTAAGATTTAAAAAAAAAAATTAAATTGTAGCTATTTCATATAAATTCACAAACAATAACTGGCAATAGAATTACCTTTGCAGATGATAAACTTTAGATGTATATTGGCCTTTCCCATATGCATCATCTTCAAAGGGTCTGTCCTCCAAGATATCTACCCCCTCATTGCTGCTTGTGTTCTGCTGCTGCATCTTCATTACCATGTAACTTTGAGCTATCTGATACTGCAACAAAAAAATTAAACTGGGTAAAGGATTAACTTTTAATTCAATAAAAAAGATTCAAACTCGAACCAATTGTTTTACCTCCTCTACCGATAAAGGCATGACAACTCGGCTTCATATTTCAGTACCCAGTTAAGGAAATTATCAAAAAAAGAAGTATTCTCATGAGGAATTTTAAAAACTTTACATATATACAATTTATATATATACACATAGACACAACAAACTTATCCGTATATATATGTAAACACATAAAGATAAAGAAAGAACATCTTTGTAAATCCTTGACCATTAATCACAAGAGAAAGCAAAGAGTGAAGATAAAGCTTGTGCACTTAAACTGAGTATTCATGTCATAGTTCAAAATTCCTCTAAAGAAAACAAAAAAAAAAAAAAAAAGATAAAAACTGAACTAAAATTCTGATCCCTTGTCTGCAAATTTTTTTACATGAAAACCAGTAATAAAACAGTCATCAACGACCATAACCATTGAAAATTGGAGAATACCTAGATATATTCTGTATCTTCTTAATTCTTCATCACTGAACTATACAGGAGATTTAAACCGTAAAATTAACCTACTATTTTCACCAATTTTAAATTGAAATTTTCCACCACAAACAAAAACAATCACGGAGCAAAAATAATAACCAACTGTAGTTCCGAAAATAAGTAATTCCCTATACATATTACCACGTAAACAGTTTTCGGCTAGCTTATGTTCCTGCAAATCAACAAATAATCTAAATAAAACGAAGAATTATAGGAATATGATGATGATGGAAAGGATACAATTCCTTGATTTGAACCATTCCGTCAACTTCCTCTAGAATGCGAGTCTCCTAACAGAGGAGTTCCACTGAAACCTTTGACGTTCACTACGGAAGACTCCAGAGAGAAGAAAAAGGAGGGAGAGGAAGAGATGGAGGAAGAGTAGGAGAATGGCAGGATAGTAAATATAGCAAAATAATAACAAAGCTATGAAGCAGATGGAAAATGCTTATTTTATCTTTTTTAATTTTTAATTGCTTGATAAAAGATGGTCAAAATCATTGCTCAAAGCTTCGTCGTTAAGTCAAATTCTCTCGCTGTTTTGACTTTTCAGATGGACTTTCTCGTTGTTAACGCGTGTGTGTAGTTGATTAATTTAGTTTGCAGGCCAACGACGTCGTATTTTTTAAAATGCATAATAAGAGTTCATGGCACCTTTGGCGCGTGGACGGTGGCCTTCGTCTTTGAGCCCAAACGCTGTCGCGAGCTATCGTTGCGTGGACGGTGTTTCTCTGTACATATATGCGTAAAACGAAAACACTAGATTAAATAATTGCGCGGACAGTTTTTTATATTAATTGATATTTATAAATTATTTAATTAATAAATATATACATTTATTTATAAAATATAAAATATTAATTTTTGTAATTTAATTACATTTAATTTATAAATCTAATTCATTAATTTTTACATTTTTATTAAATTATTAACAAAATCTTACTATCACATAAATATTTTGTAAATAAATATTTTATTTTACACACGTGCATGAATATAATATTTACATACATATATATATATATATTATGCGCACGATACATTGTATCTTTTAAAAAGTTTAGATGCCAACAAAATGAACAAAAATCACTCATTATAAATATATTAAAGTTTATAAATAATTTAGTTTTAGTCTCTTTAATTTCATAATAAATTATGTATTGTCTCAGCATATATGCAAAGGCAATATGTATAGTCCAACCTATTTGTTTTATTGATGGGTGAAAATATAAACTTATTACAAAACTTAAGGTAAAAGAAAATTTAGTTTAATTATGTATTAAATTTGTAAATTATTATTAAGTATTGAATAATTATGATTTGCGAATTGCACAATAACATAATTGATTTGTATTTACATAAATATATTAATATTTGTATATCAATTAATTTCGTGATATTATAATTTTTTTTTACTTACTTATTTAATATTTAAATTTGTAAAAATATTTAAATATTTGTTTTTTTTGCACAAATATAAATGTTTTCAATATAAAAAAGAATATTTATATTGTATTTTCATATAATTTTAAAATAATAATAGTCAAATTTTACTTTAATAAATTTTATAATTTTATTTAAATAAAGGTATGAATGATTAATTTGTTAGGATGTTGCTGCTGATTTAAATAAATTATAACATAAAGTTTTTAAAAAATCATATGCGATAATTAAATGAGTAACTTTTATCACATTTACTGTATTGTAAAAAAATATTTTAAAATATATTAATGTTTTTCGTGTTTGAATCGAGAATATATATTTAAAAAAATAAAAACATATATTTTTATTTTGTGGTTTTCTTATTCCAATAAAATTCTCTCACAAAATAATTGCTCTGCTTTTGATTGTTTACGTAAGGATAAATCCATAAGAAGCAAGAAGACAAAGAGCTACTCCTCCAATCATTTATCGAATTGTCATTTCATCCTCACTATCGAAACCCTACTTATCATTGCAGCTAAACTGACTGTCAGTTCGAGTCCACGATTACAGAGCCAGAAGAAGAGCAAGCAATTTCTCAATGAACATCGGCCACGGTTGATGCGACTCTGTCGCCGCTCAGCATTCATAGTGCCTAACTGTTGGTACCGAATCGGCTGCTTCCGAGGTCGAAGACTGTGGCGGCGCCTGGAAATGCGGGAAAGAGGACGTAGCTGAAGGCAATCGTGGTCGTCCAATCGTGATTGGAGAAGCATGTAAGTTTCGAGAAGGACATAAGCTATTTGATAATGTCGAAACCGGAGACGACCATGACCGATCCGGACATAGTATGTCCGGACCTACATTACGCCAATGACGCCAGAGCTGGTAGATCAGGTGCTCGAGAAGGAGCAACTCAACGCTCTTCTGTCACAATGGCCGGGTTGACCGCCTTTAACCTCACCGTTGCGCTGGCTGAGAGCAAGGCGGTAAATGCTGGTCGAATTGATGGTGGCCGAAGGTCAACGTGTCACCAAGAAAGCGGAGAACAGAGATCGGTTTAAACAAGCATGAAAAACACCGGTCTCAAATCGGCGCCGGGACAGGGAACTATCTGGATAATGCATCGAGATGGTAATTGAAACTGAGAGTTCCTGTTGACAATTAGGCCGGGCGTGAACATTGAAGGGAACTCGTGGCCCACCCCGTACAACAAGGAGGAGTTCGAGACTACCTGCCTGGTGGAATTGATTGCGAGCTTGATCTCGCAAGTCTTGGAGGAGAAGTCTTTGTTTGATGGAAGGACTACGAACTCGAGGTTGCTGAGGAATTTGCTTGACGTGATGAACTCGAGGTTGCTGAGGAATTCGGCTTGACGTGATGATCATATGCTACGTTGTCAATATTGTTTCCGCGGAATTGTACACAGGCGTTTTATATCACCGTTGCGCCTGCAGATAAGCTGACCTATGACGAGTACCACGATCTCAGCGCTTAAGGGACTATTGGATTGCAAGGGAAACTTTCTGTCTGTTAATTCCTTGGATCAACTTCCCAACGATAGAACCAAGAAGACGCCTGCTGTTTTCGGCCTTCTATAAATTATGTAGTGACAAAAGGTTAGTAAATGCTCATTTAGTCGGTTTCAATCTTACTAGTAAATGATGTTATCTCAATCTTGAGGATTAAGTGATTGATATGCTAAATGCAAAACAAGATGTGACTTAAAAAAATAGAATGCAAGATTACAAAACTTGTACTGGTATCATTTGACGCCAGATGTAGGCTATAAATAAGCTGGCTGGAATGCTATCTTGACTTACTAAGTTAACATGTTTAGGGTCCTGTATTAAAATACAATTCAAGATTGCAAAAAACACTGATTTCGCTTGGCTTCTTTGGTACTAAAGCTTATAAATTAATAAGCTGGTGGGAATACTCTCGTCTTTAATAAACATATTTTTTATGGTTGTTATTGCAAATGGAGCTGCAGTTTTAGTTGCTGAGGTTATATTTTAAACCGCGTATGTAAAAAGTGCTGGGATGATACTCTAGACTTGAAATGGGGATTCAAATGAAATTTTAACATTGTGCTTGCATTGATATCATTGTAAGACTTGGAAGTTCAAATGTGAAAACCCTATTGTATGTCTTGAGATGAATGTTGAAGATGCTAGCGCAAGAACATCAATGATCAAGTGGTTACATTTGATGTGCACTGATACTACTGGACTTGTGGATTGGCGACCATCAAGAGTTTTGCTTAACAATGTTTTATACCGTATATCTTTTTTTGAACTAAAAATAGTATGACATTATATGGTATAAAATATTGTTAAGCAAAAAGGTATGTTATATACAATATATGTCATCCAGATCTCCAGGTTTGCATTGGAGAGAACGTGGCTGTCAGTTAGTTCTAACCACATGGATTGAGTCTGTTGGTGAAGCCTCAGTATTGGGTCAGTATTGGAGAAAACCTATGCTGGGTTTGACACTAACTGAAGTACAGCCTTTAAGCCCTAGTCCCAAACGCATTCTTGCCATATATGCTGCTATGAAGAAGTAGATGAAAGTAGATTAGATTCATGTGTTAAAAAGTTTCATTACCAAATGGTTCCTCACATAAGCTACCTGCTTATCACTGAATTCTCCATTTTTGATATTACAAAATTCATTTTTTGTCAATTGAGACAAGCTTAGGGAGGGAAGGTACCTGGGAAGGAGGTCTATGAATAGGTTGTCTATGGGAGTTACTCTCGCTTGCAAGTGGAGAAATACTTGTGGTGCAGAATTTGAAGCCCAACATCCACATCTGTACCCTTCCTATGGTTTTGCATGTGAAATATCTCCAGATAAAAAAAAAGATTCTCATGTTAGGTGGAGGACCAAAATGTACTGGTGAGGGTATAGGGTTTGACTACTGCTGCTGCCTGTTTCAGCATATGTTTTGCTCTCACATTTGTGTTTGCTTCATTTCTTTTTTTTTTTTAATCCCATCCCCTTTTCCTCTTACATGGTCGTTCATAACTATGTTTAGTTTTGCAATTTTGATACTAGAGTATCTGGTAATTGGGAATAATTATGACACTAGTTAAAACTGGTGATCAATCTAGAAATGGAGTTGATTATTTACTTGTATGTCTTTTGAGGTGTCTATTGTTAAATTAGCATGGATCTCAGGTATATGAAGGTTTAGCACTGGAAAGAGCAGCTATATATGTATTCATTTATTTAAAGAAAAAGAATGGACTGTTCACAAAGGGTTGCAATCTATTTACAAAAATGGGTATATATTAACTGCGAGACTATATACAAGAGGTTTACAAGCTTCCTTCTGAGGGTGACTGATGAATCTATGCTAAGGGTTTGGCACCAGCTATAGTGGGATTAAGGTAGTAACTTTTCCGTGGAGTCTGTTTGCTTCTCTCAACCCCTGATTATATCCAAATGGAATACACCAAGCCCATTCCAGATACATAAAAGTAATGATCAATCCTAGCTGCTGAAGAGAGCATAGTTTATTTCTTAAATGAATGAGAACAGTACAATTTTCTGGGTGGCACTTGGGTTACAAGGACATAAGGTTACGCCTATTTAAATTAGTGATTGACTGGTCAAGGAAGGGAGAGGACTACCTTTTGAAGTGTGGATTATATATCATACGGGTTGTAAACAACCATGATTTGATTTCCAATGGTGCTTAATTGGATCTATGCTAACTAAAGATGCCTTGATGCAGTCCTTATACACATGATTTCTGGTACCTAATCTGCAATAAGATAGTATGTGTCTCAAAGACATACTATCTTAGTGTCAAAGACATCTTTTATCTGTTGGTTTGTTCTGGCTCATTTTTCTGCAATTATTTAAATCTGACCTGGAGATCAATGTTATGGGTGTTTATCCATATTTGAGTTTAGATTCTAAATTGTTAACGTGGATGGGAAATGATTGTATGCTTTTTTTACAAAAAATTACTTTGTTTATGTCATTTGTTAGTTTGTTAGCTTATAGTTTTTGTAATGTCCATTTCAGGATGCTGGATGAACATGTGATACATAGTGATTCAAATCCTGCGACAGTATTGTGAAAAAAGTGATTGTCTCTACTTTGCACTGGTTACAGTTGAGGATGTTCTGAATGTTATTGATTTTAAATGACCTGATGGCATGATTGTAGTCTTTGGAGGTTAAACATCTCTGGAGTTGGCCCTTCCTACCAAGAGCACTTCTTAGATGAGTTCCAGTGTAGATAGATCTGGACCTGTGTGTGGACTACGGAGTTAGCAGAGAGACTACAGGTGTGCAGCCTAATGAACTGTAAGTATGTGATAATGGTATCTGGAGAAGTTTCTCAGTAGAGGCAAGTCCTTGAGCTTCTCATACTTTTCCATTTTTAGCCAAGGAAACTTTCCACGCACTCACAGAATATGCCGCTCATGTGATTTATAAGAAAGTTCACTACCTTCATTTCACAAAAGTGCTTATACTAGCCTGAGATGCAGAGCACTGCTGAGGTGACTGAGTATTGGTTTGGGTTTCTCGTTGCCATTGCAATTGTTATGGCCCAAATTGCCACTGGGCAGAGACTACGATTCACCAACATAGTGTTTCTCAGCTTAAATAACTGACGATACCCCAATTAAAAAAAAAATACAAAGGGATTCTTAAGGCCAGGCTTCAAAATTGTTTTGACTTCTGGGACTGTTGATTTTCTTGAATTAAAAGATATTTCTGTAGAATGAGTTTTGATATGCATGAGTGGCTGGATGGGTGCTGATAGGATTGCTAGTGGGTAAATTAACTTAATGGTGATAATAAGGTCAGGTGATGCACTTGCTCGGATTCATACCCATCAACTGAGAAGGATGGCTCTTGCTTACAAGGTACCTAAAATGATAACAGTTTCTGGTTCATTGTCACTGCTGAAGCAATAAGAACTCTAAAATCAAGTACCGCTCAAATGATTGCCTTTCAGGAGTTCTTGATATTGAGTTAGAACCATGAAGCAGTAAAGACCTGCCATCAGTCTCTTCTTCACCATAGATTGAGTGGGTATTCCAGGTAAGAAATGATGTCACTAATGATTTTTTGCTGATATTCTTACTAATTATGTTTGGGAATGAACTGACTTTCCCTTTAGTAAATTGTTTCAACCTCGTAAATAAGTTTTGGAATGAATATAAATTATAGCATATAAGTTCTTGCGCATTCAGGAATATAACATATATTTGTGTATGTAAGAAGCCAACAAAATAATTGGTGACTTCAACCTCTTCGACTATGTCCTCAGAAATTGGATAACCTTCTTTGAATAGCTTAATAATATGATTTAAGCCACTGGGATACCTTGCTAATAAGAGCAAAGTAGCTTTTATTCTGTTTCATACTTTTTGACAAACGTTTTTCCCATTTGACCATTCTCACCCTAATGGTACTGGGTGGTGTTCCTGTAGCTTTTGTTCAATTTTATACCATATCAAACAGTAATACATGTGGTATGATCTAACTATGATTACCTGCTTTCGTTGCTGAGTCCACTTTGGTGAAAATCATCAGTCACTGTAACTTGAGGATCTTAAGCACCAGTTGTTTCTAAGAATAAGAAATGAGATGGTGGGGTGTGAAGAGGGGCCCCCTCGACTGATATCATTTAGACCACTTCAAACAAAATAATCTGAATATTAGTCTGATTGATTAGACTAATAGAACTCCAAAATCCATAGTGGAGAAGAAAAAATCATTTCTTATTTTATCTCCTTTGGGATCTCATGCTTAATGTCATCTTTTTCTTCATAGTTGGTTCGTATTCTACTAAAGAGTTCTGGCTGGTTGCTCATCTTTAGAAAAGATTGATTTTAAACAAAGTGCTAAACTAGAACTTTCTCGGTCTCCATCATTGAACTTTCTATAGGATATTATCTCAAATCTCACTTCATGGTGCTCAAGTTGTCAAGCCGGACCTAACTCAACTAAGTCAAGACTTTCTACATGCCAAGTAGTCGCCTTTTCACCATTTGCATCATTGAAATTTTTGCTGTTTGGCAGTCTAGAACCATAGGGACCGGCTTCTTTAGACTCAAATGTAATGATTATTTCACTAATTGTGTATTTTGAAGCATAACCATGACTTTCATGATCACAACTAAAAGATTCATGCACCCAAGCACTTAGCTTACCTCATAATTTGTGGTGATCTTTTATTTGACCTGTTAGTTGATTTTGTGATCATTTGCATCATCGTTTCTTATCTCTACATCATTGTTGGAGTCCCTCACTGTGCAAACTAAGCCCACTTCAGAATTCATATTAGTTGGTTTTTTGGGAATCAAATTCAATAGTGTTATGTTTTCTCCAAAGATTATATAGTATTTTTATAGCTTGATCACTGAATATGATTCATGATTTTGTTTTCCTTCTAGGGAGACTTCTAAATTAATTTGGCAGGAAATTGATTCACCAGAAAACAAGCTCTCTTTATTTTAGATTCATTAAAAACAAAAATTTCTGGGTAGGTTATGATTTTGGCCTATATGTAGAAGGTTTTGGTTTTGAGCATCCTAAGCTTATAAGGAAACAAAGGAAATTACTTGTGATGTATTCATGTGGAAAATTGAAGATTTATTGGATGTTTTGGTTTCACAAGGTAAAGCACAAGCTTTGTTAAAGGTACAAACATAGTTTTAGGGGTAGGGAGGCAAAGCCTCTGCTCTGCACTGGTACAAATTGATTAGTTCTTTTTTTCTCTCTACTGATGCTATATCTATGTTTCATTGAATTAGGCTTGAGATGTAGGAAAAAACTTTTTCATTTCAAGAATTTAACCATACCGACTCTAGACCTATACCTAACGTAGAGCAGGTCACATTGATCGAATTGTGTAAATACTTTGCGTCTTCTACTTTTCTGCTTTGATCTGCATATTGCACAACAAGATCAGTTTTGCAAAGAGCATTTTTGACATGAAGCAGTAAAGGTCTGATGATTAAATCTTTGATTTGTTAATTGTGATTAGGTGTTGTGCCATTTAGCAAAAAGGTGAGAAACCCACTTTGAGGCATTTACAAAAGTCTTTTTGTGTTTGTATGTGTTGTTGAGGCATGATTCTTAATGATTGTGTCAAAATTGCGTTTAATAAAACTGTGACACTTTTGGATGAGTGCGCCGGGAAGAATGAGATCCAGAACCCAGTAGAAACATAGCAACTGGTGAATGCCACTATTATGACATTCTTTGTTAATAAATTTTTTAATCTCATCATTTATTTTTCTTTCACTACTTTATTTAGGGTATCAGTTGAACTTGGCTTGAGAACTAGGAATGTCCATTTGTCACTTTTGAGTGTGACAAAACGTGTATAATAGTTTTTTTTTCCCCTTCATCTATTAAAATGATACTTGGCACTTTTTTCCCCGAAGGAAGCTTATCTGCTTTTTTTAGCTTGATGGAATCTGAGATTTATGGTCTTAATTTTATTTATCATTATTTGTCTTTCACTACTTACTTAGGACATCAATTGAGCTTCGGCTTGAGAACTAGGATTGTCCATACGTCACTTTTGAGTGTGACAAAACATGTGTATAGCAGCTTTTTTTTTCCTTCATCTATTAAAATGATATTTGGCTTTTTTTCCCCCCCGAAGGAAGCTTATCTACTTTTTTTTTTTTAACTTGATGGAATTTGAGATTTATGGTCTTAATTTTATTTAGATTTGAAAATTTCTCTTATGGTTAAAGTATATGTTTCCAAATGAATTTCACAAAAACTAATTAGTTTGTTCTAAATGTATCCTATCAACTTAAAAGCACAATTAGTTTTTTTATAAGGGATAGAAATTATTTTATGGAAATTAAAAAATTAATTTTTACTGATCTTTTCTTTTGTGAGAGAGAGGACGGAGAAAGGGGTAGGGGTGTTTGCGTCCATGGTGGAAGTCCGGATGCTTGGTTAAGGAATTAAGTTCTTTTGATCAATTTAGTTTTGTTACATTGGAATAGAGAACATTTCTGTTTGCTTTAATATTGACAGGTATTTATTGTAAATTAATATAACTATTTAAAATAAATGAATAGTATTGAAATTTGTCAATCACACTTAATAAAGTCACCTTATTATATGTCTAAATGATATTATATATATGTATATATTTTAAAACAAATTTTACATTGTTTTTGTAAATTCAAACATTGCTTTGCAGTGTAGGTTCCTTAAAATAGATAGGGTTAATTTAATCTTATCTAGTGGTTTATTTTTCTTTAACAATTTCAATAATAAAAATAAAAAATAAACACTTGGTTTTCACTTAAAAAACGTAGATTGGTCCTATTCTACGACAGGTTCGCTAGTTTGGGGGTCTCAAATTATAATCCTCTAGTTTGGGTGCCTTAAAAAAACGTAGATCCCTTTGAAAGGCCAACTGTCTTTCAATTCTCTTCTCTACGGCCTTTGTCTTAATGGCAGGAATAAGTCTACTGGTATGTTCTTTTTTCGGAAAAGACCAGCATTACTACTATTTAGATTATCCCAGCCAGTCCCTGCAACCCCACGCTTGCCACCGCAATACCTGTTTATATTCATATTGCCCTAGCTTCTTACTATATTCAATCATCTAGAGGGTGTTCGATTATTTTAGGACGATATACTTTACTTTTGTTATTAAATTCAGGATAAATTAATATATTAGTTTTTGAATATTGTCACTTGTTATAATTTATTTATTTATTTTTTGTTATAAATTAATTGTTAATATTATTTATTTATTTTTAATATTTAGATTTCTTTTATTTTCAGTAAAAATAAAATAAAATTAATAAATTAATAATAATAAAAACTTTTGAAACTAAATTATAACGCAAAAAAAAAAAATATTAATGACCAATTTAAATTAAGTGTCAAATTTTAAAAATTAATTTGATCATTTATTTTTAAATTTATTAGAAAGGTAATTTTTTTATATTAAAAAGCCATACGATTACTAAAAAAGATTTTACTCTAGTGATATAAAATTCAGGGATTTTCTTTTTTCACAAGAACAAATTTTATAAACAGAACAGTTTATAGTGATTTAGTGTTAATACTAATTAAATCATCATAAACATACGCTTTCTATAAATTTATTTTGAGTAGACTTCCTATAAATTTATTTTAAATTACTAGATAAATATATATTCAAAAGCAGTATCTAGATAAATTTAACAAAACAAAACACACTGTACATGTTGGAGTAACCCACTAGATCTACAACAGTACATTCTCTTTCCGTGCAATACACAAAAATGTCAAAACATAGCTAGGATGACTTACATAAAGCATATATATATATATACTTGTGTCATGTGTGGTTCAGTTTGAATTTTGCACTGAAGTAGTAGCAAAATTGAAATTACTAGCTGGCGGCTTGAGAAGCCATTGGTAGAAAATTTAAAAGAAAAGCCAAGAAAGTTTTATGACTTTCTTGTGTTTGTTTTATTCATCCTTAGCTGTATTTGTCTATATTTAACTTCTTCTGCCAAAATCTAGATGAAAATCAAGCTTATGAAGCTTAATTTACTTATAAGCGTTCCAGATTAAATTTAAAATTTTTTAAAATGTGATCATACCAGTATTAGTGCATCAGATTCTATTAGTATTCTATAATTGAACGTACTTAAGTGAGATCAGTATTATGATAGATGACTTTCTGCAAACTTTGCATGTTACTCTGTTTTTAACTATGCTTATTCAAGAATAGACAAATTCTAAACTCTTAGTTTTGTATTGTTGGGTCATCTTCTTTGTTTAAAAGAATATTTTATAATATTTTATTGACAATTCGATTTAATCGTAAATTTTTTTTTTTTTTTTATAAATGGAAAAGCATTTCTTGGTGCCAATATTGATGATACATACTAGAGAATTTTTATTTCAAACAAAAATTAGGAATTCTTTTCCTAATTTACGATAAGGTTATGATGAATTTTTGTTTGATCTTGTGATTTTGATACAAATAATCTGTATGTAATATTTGTTTTTATATGCTACTTTTTACATAATTCAATAAATATCATACAGAGAAAAACATTGAAAAAGATGATCCAGACAAGAATATTTCCAGAGTGGGAAACTGGCTGTAACAGATGACCTTCTTGCACTTAAAAAAACCGCGTGGGCCTTTTTGTGTTGCTACAACACAACTGACACCCAGAAAATGAAAGAAAAAATTTTTCAAACCGAAGCTGATGAGACCACAGAATTTTCAATATTTTTTTGTTTGTTTTTTTTTTTTATATATATATAATAAATTCTAAATACGATATTCAATTGACAACTTGCAGTAACTGGTTTTTTCCATTTTCGTATCTATCTTCTTCTTTTAACTTTCTTCAGTTCAGCTTCCATTAGTGATCTTCTGGTCAAAGGGTATTCCACAATAAATGTATTATTATTTATATACTCACACACAAACTTTAATTTTAAAAAAAATAAAATAACAAAATGAATAATAATAGCATCCTAGTCATCACGGGTATTAATATTGGTCCGTGCTGTCATTTATTCGGTGCGCAAGACTGGTACCTGGGGTGGTGGTGGGGGAAGATTTTTCGGTCAAGTCCAAAGAATGTTTGGTCATAGGGTCTTTTAATTTGTCCCTTACCCATATCACACACATGGCGCCTCTACAACAAATTAACAATCAAATTTCCAGAGCCGTCCTCTCTAGAAAGTCTCTTGAGTTATACATAAAGAAGAACGTGAGAGTTATGATCGTCAATTTTACGGCTTAGTATCATAACAAATGATGAATATCATTTAATAAAAATTATACTTAATCTTTGTCGTTGTGATTTTACTTATTCGAAATTAATTAGTTAGTTAAAATATTAACGTAACAAAATTAAAGACCAACGTTTAATTCTCTTTTCCTCTTCCCTAATTCATTCTTATTTTCCTTCGAGTACTAACATTCATATTCATATACATATATATATAAACCTAGGAGCTACGTATTGCTACTTGATTTCTTCTCGAGTCATCATATAAAGTACCAATGCCGTATAGCTTTAGCTTCACTTTGTATTTGTGAAGAAGATTATGAGTATCAATCTATGACCGTTCAAACTTTGATTTAGAGACCCTGCCATCAGACTTTGATTTAGACGTTTCTTTTGCAGCCACGGTACGTTTAACGTTAAATTAAATGTATAAATAATCTTATACCATAATTTAATTGACAAAGTTGGATGCTTTCAAATCATAATTACCACCGGAATTAATTATGGCAACTGGAATTACTACTTTGACTGGTCTCTAAATTAGTGCTTAACAACATTTATTTCTTTTACTTCTCCAAATTATGAACATAAATTCAGATATATACGCGCGTATATGTATATATATATATATATATATATATATAAATTATTTGCTCAAAGATACATAAGAGCCTTGTACCGTTCTCAACTTGTTGTTATTGGATTTCAACCGTATTCTTTTAATTCTTTTAATTCTATAATTTTTAGTATCTATAATTTACTTTTAAAAACAAAGCATTACGAATATTGATTTGAAGAACAAATACATAAAGTAAGTACTATATAATATACGGTCGTACTTATAGAATATACAAAATTTTTGTTATATATATCAAATATTTATTGATTTACATCTTAATATACACAAATTTTGATTTGATTCGATTTAAAAGTTTGCCAAAATAATTTTTCAACTTCTATGATATAAATAATTATTTATTTATATTATAATATTCAAATATATATGCGTGTGTGTGTGTGTGTATACTTTCTGTCTCTTTTACTAGGAAACTTTTGACTGTAATCTTGGAACGTTCATGCATTTTCCATATTTTTGTCCGTTAGTGTTTTTGTTTCTAATCGTTTGTTGTATTTTCATAACATAATTTTGATTGGATGATAAAAAAAAAAAATGAATTACTTTGAACAGCTTCTAATATATACTTACAGAAATCCAGCATGTTACGTGCATCGGACTTCATATATCTATACACGTATAACATTCAAAGCGATTCGTTTATTATCTTCGTGTCATGTTCCTGCATGTTAACTTTACATTTTTTAAGCATTCATTATAAAAGATTGAATGTGTATGTATATATGTTTGTGTGTGTGTGTGTGTGTGTGTGTGTGTGTAAGGAGCAGCCATGACTGCTTATACATATAGTTGTGTGTTTACACTTTTGGTGGTTAATGCTTATACTTTGATTTGGAGACCCCACATATTAAACACCATGGCTTTAATGCATTCCCTTGGACTTTAGCCCCTTGTTTTCTTCTACTTTAATTACTGTACTATAGACATGAGATCTTCTTACATATATATATATATATATATATATCTACATACATATTAATTTTTGTCACAATTAGGGTGGAACGGAAGCAGCCTGTGTTTACACTTTACACACAGAACTATATATATATATACTCACTCAAATATGAACTGATCTATCATCTAATAAATACATGACTGCAAAATAATTAAGTTATTTTATCGTATAATTCATGATTTTATTTTGTCGTATCACAGTATATTAAACTCATGGGTCTGAATTATTATATATATATATTACATTACATTTTCTTTTTCTCATTTTTTTTGGTATTTACAAGACTTGATTTTGTTT